CTCCACAGTTCACACCTTTGGCTAACCTGAAACCACACCTGAAACTAGTAATTACAATTAAGCACTGGATTCCACAAGACAGCCTTGTAACTAACAGAGTCTAAGCTGAGCAAAGTCTCAACTCAGAGCCTGACTTTACCAGCAGAAAGACAAATCCCAGTTAGAAGACACAAGCACACATAAAGGCATGGCTGAGTGAGTGTGGTGTGGAAGAACTTGACTGACCCTCACAGAGCCCTGACCCCAACTCCATCAAACACCTTTGGGATGAACTAGAACGGAGATTGTGAGCCAGGCCCTCTCGTCCAACATCAGTGTCTGACCTCACAAATGCTCTTCTGGATGAATGGACTAAAATTCACACAGACACTCTCCAACATCTTCTAGAAAGCTTCCCAGAAGAGTGGAAACAGTTAGAGCTGTTGGTGTAATGTGTAGGTGTCCCAATACCTTTGTCCATTTAGTGTATGTGGACACCTGACCATCACACCTGTATGAGTTTGATGGAAATCCCATTCCAAAACAATGGGCATTAATATAGAGTTGGCCCCCAATAACAGCCTCTACTATTCTTATGTTTTGAGGTCAGGGCTCTGTGAGGCCACTGGAGTTCCACCACACCAAACTCATCAAACCATGTCTTTATGGAACTAAAATGTCTTTGTATACTGTAGCATTATCATCACCCTTCACTGTAACTAAGGTGCCTAAACCCTGAAAAACAGTCCCAGCTCATGATCCCTCCTCCACAGTTGGCACTATGCATTCTGGTAGGTAACTTTTTCCTGGCGTTCCACCGAACCCACATTCATCCATCGGACTGCCAGATAGTGAAGTGTGATTCATCCCTCTAGATAACTCGTTTCCACTGCTCCAGAGTCCAGTGGTGTCGTGCTTTACACCACTCCAGCTGACACTTGGCATTGCCCATAGTGTTAGGCTTGTGTGCAGCTGCTTCGCTGTAGAAACCCATTTTAAGAAGCTCCCAACACAGTTCTTGGGTGATTAAACAGGTCAGTGAGGTTTATTTCCTCAACATTCAGACACTTAAACACCGTAATGTTAAAGGTTTATATTGAACTTCATCTTCCACTCCAGTTCAGCTGAATGAGATGTTAAATCTTGTGTTTTTAGGAGTTGTTGAAGTTTCCTGAAGCTGAAGAAGCGCTCGGTGCTGTAAGCTGACAGTCAGCTAAAGCTAACGGCATCTACACTTTTTATTTTGGTTTCCTAGGACTTCGTTTTTATGTAACGTCTAGAAATTAACACTCATTAGTCACAAATAAAATTGGAAACTACTTAAAATATACGTTACAGATAAAAAGAGAACCAACGAACTGAAAGGGGTCAGCTAGTTTACTGCTAACGTTACTTGCTGAGGTGATTTTTAAACTGAATGTACAAATACAGTCTACAGTTTTCACTTACAGTTCATTTTAATTACAGATTTGAGTTTACATAGAACAAGCTGATTTAAGTACATTTATTATAGGCTAACTTACATGAATACTGAGCTGTGACTGGTCTCCACTCTGGTGATGGTAAAAACTGATTAGCCATCAGTTAAAAATCATCAACTAATTATTAAATTGTATATCATATCAGCTATGCAAAACATGGGAAGTGCACTTTGAATGAACTTTCTTCCAATACAAGCTTTTAAACATATTTGGTGTTTTTTTACTTGCATTGATTAAAAGTCACTTCTTTTCCTAGATATTTCTGTACCTATAAAGAGCAGCAACACAGTAAAAATACATTAGAATTAGCAGCTACATTTCAACACCACTAAAAGCCAGTAAGTCCCTGAGAGAAAAGATTTCTTCTACACAGCAATTCCTTTACAATTGGCAACAAAATACAATAATATAATGCTTCTTTTCATCACCACCCCCTTTTCTACAGCTTTACTACAATATTTAACAAGGACAAGTGACTTTAAGTGAACTAAAGCATGGAAAACTGGTCTGCAGAAGCAAAACCAAGCTGCAGAATTAGAGTGATGGAAAGGTGAGTCAAATGATCTGATCACAATGTGTGATCAGCTCTGAAGTTCAGTTCATTTCATTTCACTATTTTGCTGCATAAGTAGCCTTTATTTTCAGTGGTCTTGGCCTCTTTTGGGGCTGTTCAGACCCCATCTTTTCAGACACTCTCAAAAGCATATTAACATCTGTGGATCAACATGAAGCGTGATTGACTCCTCTAGCCTGAGCTGTGCGCTTCACTGTTTTAAACTGCACATTGAAGATGAAAAAAACATCTTTTCCAGGAAAAAGAGCCATGTGAAAATGTGTGCCTTAAGAGACATCTTGTTATGTATTTTCAAACTTTGTTTCAGAGTACTACTCACAGATGGAGCTCTTTATTCAGTTCAGTTGCTGTGTTAAAGGTTCCTTTTGTAGCATATTGACAAGAACAACACAGTCTGAGCTGTGACTGCAATATACTACTAACTTACAGCCATGATGTAGAGCTACAGGTTCATATCACTTGAAACATTTGAAATAACATGATTAAATTTTATTTAGGTTGGTTTAAGAAGTTTTACAAAGCGCTTTGTGGAAAACAGTAATTATGTTACAACATAATGAAGAAAAAGAAATATCAATTTAACAGGATAAGGGTCTGACCCTAAAACCTGAGAATGTCTCAGTTGAGAGGAATATGAGTTTGGGTGAACTGCAAAATATGGACAGAACTACTATATACAGTAACAGACTTGTAGTCCCCGATGCAAAATCAAATCACATAAATGTGGGAAACTAAAACATTAAAGTACAAAGAGAAAACTAACTAATTAAACTAACAAAGACATTTTCTAAACCTCTTTTCCTTCTAGGTCACAGAGGTGGGGAGCTGGAGCCTATCCCAGCGGTCACTGGGTGGAAGGCTGGATAGAGCCTGGACAGGTCCTTATCAAAAACTAATAAATGTGATTTCTGTGGGTTCTAATATTCATTACTTTTTCCTTCCACATTTCTTAGAGCTAATGGATTAAAAGGTATGTCAGTTGTGGAATCTGCACACAAACAGCTCCTATACAGAATGACATCATGTGAAATAACAATAAATTCAAACAATAACAGGGTTCACATTCTGAATGTTAATAAAATGTGCTAGAAAATGGTGAAATTTGTATTCCGATACAGAAAACTTACAACAGAACAATACAAAACAAAATTTTATTTTAGAGTCTCACAGACTCCAGTTCCTATTCTGACAGACTAAAGACATAGTTTGGAGCTGATCATTTTTTCTACTCCATTTACTATCCCATCTCCAAAAAAGTTGGGACACTGTGCAGAATGTAAATAAAAATAGAATGCAATGATAAGAAAATCGTGTGAACCATATTTTTAAAGGAAAATACTACAAAGACAACGTGCACTGATAAAAAGCTGAGTGCTCTTTAGCCCGTAGGACCCAGTGTCCATGATTTCAAAAAGGATTTCAAATGTTGATTCGTCGAACGACAGGACACTTTTCCACTTCCCCTCAGTCCATTTAAAAATTAGCTCAGACCCAGAGAAGGTGGCAGCATTTCGGGCTCCTGTTTATGTACAGTTCTTTTCTTCTTCTTCAATTCTTTGTGTTTAAGAGTTTAATTAGCATTTATGGATCCAGTGATGAACTGTTTTCACAGACAGTGGTTTTCAGAAGTGTTTCTGAGCCCATGCAGTGAATTCCACTACAGAATCATATGTTTTAAATGCAGTGCCGTCTGAGGGCCCAAAGATCACGGCTGTTTTATGTTGAGAAATGTTATTCTTGAATTGTTGCACTATTTGATCGTGTAGTCTTTCACAGAGTGGTGAACCCCTCCTTGTCTTTACTTCTGAAAGACTCTCTGAGATGCTCTCCACTCGTACCAGCACAACACACACTAACACACCACCACCACATCAGTGTCACTGCAGCACTGAGAATTATCCACCACCCATCATCACCCAATGATCCACCCAAATGCTCTGTGGGGGCCCCGAACATTGAAGAACAGGGTGAAAGGACCAGATGTTTGTGTATCACCATAATATTTCACAAAAAACATGTTAACTACTCCATGACATACATGTTTGGCCATAACACCCACCACTGTATAAAATCCTTACATAGACCATGCACTGAAAGGTTCTTAAGGGAAGTAGCTCTTCTGTGACATTCCTTTAAAGAACCCTTGTGGAAATGTATACACATAACGTGTGCCCATTTCCATATTATTAAATTTGTAACATGAACATCATTTTTATTATTATTTGCAGTTTTCTCACTTCTGGCAAGAATTGAGTTGATGCACTATATTTAATTCATATGGACCCAATATAAACATGTGAAACAAGTAAAGTAAGTGCACTTTTTTAAGTTGTGGTCCTATAATCCTCATCTGAGAAACCTATTGTAAATAATACAATATTCCATAATTTACAGACCATAAAGCATAATCACCTTTCTTTTTGTGAAAACATCTCCATGGAAACAGAACCAGCTCCACAGCAACCAGACATCAACCTGCTACTATGATCATGAAATTCCATAGAGCTGAAAATGAAAACACAGTATATGTATATAGTATAATATAAATACTGAATATTACACACACTTTTGTTACAGCAAATCTTGGAATGGAGTGTGGTGAATTCTGTGTGAAATCACTGGAGGACTAATGCCCCCTATGAAAGAGTGCATTAGAAAAACCTCTCAAACATGTGACCTGACGGTGAGTAATAAACAAACTAATGTATGTGAACAGCTGCAGTGTGTGCTGCATGGATTTTATGTAAAATGCATTCATATAACATCATACATAAAATACACACAGCGTCCTGTATTAAAATCTGTTCTCAGTATCCAGTGCTAGATCATCTGATACAAGTAGCTCATATGAACCTTGAGTTGTTCCTCCAGATGAACCTTCAGTAGTTGTTTCAGTTTCTCGAGCCTTTGTAGTTCTTCTGTTAGTTGTGGATGTGGTTGTAGTTGTTTCAGTTTCTGGTGCCTTTTTAGTTCTTCTTTGAGATGATGTGGTTGTAGTGGTTGCAGCTCCTGTAGCAGTTGTGGATGTGGTTGTAGTGGTTGCAGCTCCTGTAGCAGTTGTGGATGTGGTTGTAGTGGTTGCAGCTCCTGTAGCAGTTGTGGATGTGGTTGTAGTGGTTGCAGCTCCAGTAGCAGTTGTGGATGTGGTTGTAGTGGTTGCAGCTCCAGTAGCAGTTGTGGATGTGGTTGTAGTGGTTGCAGCTCCAGTAGCAGTTGTGGATGTGGTTGTAGTGGTTGCAGCTCCAGTAGCAGTTGTGGATGTGGTTGTAGTGGTTGCAGCTCCTGTAGCAGTTGTGGATGTGGTTGTAGTGGTTGCAGCTCCAGTAGCAGTTGTGGATGTGGTTGTAGTGGTTGCAGCTCCAGTAGCAGTTGTGGATGTGGTTGTAGTGGTTGCAGCTCCTGTAGCAGTTGTGGATGTGGTTGTAGTGGTTGCAGCTCCTGTAGCAGTTGTGGATGTGGTTGTAGTGGTTGCAGCTCCAGTAGCAGTTGTGGATGTGGTTGTAGTGGTTGCAGCTCCTGTAGCAGTTGTGGATGTGGTTGTAGTGGTTGCAGCTCCTGTAGCAGTTGTGGCTGTGGTTGTAGTGGTTGCAGCTCCTGTAGCAGTTGTGGCTGTGGTTGTAGTGGTTGCAGCTCCTGTAGCAGTTGTGGCTGTGGTTATGCTGGTTTGGGCCTAGAAAATAACGTTCGTTGTTTTTGTTTGATTGGTTCAGTCTGTTTAGCGTCTGTCACGTCATGGTTTGTAGAATTTGATTAATTCAGTATCTGTATCATTGAGGCCGTTTACACCTTGCATTAAAATGTGTTTCATGTGCAGTTTTGCTTTAATTTGTCTATTTTATCTTATTACAGCTCTTCACTCATCATTTCATCACTGTATTTTATCACTGTATGTTTTCTCTTGCTGTATCAGGTCTCAGCCTTCTCCTCTCATCATTTCATATCTTCCTGTAACTAAAGCATTCATATCTCCTCCCTGACTGTACACTACAGTTTTTACAAAGCACAGTTCTATCTCGAAAAGGTTTGCTTTCATGAACATGACAAACTAGAAACTTGAAACAATTACATTTAAAATGTAATGTTTTCTCTTTGTTAATGTAGAAACAGTGGTTGAATAATTGAAGGTAAACCTAAATGATTTAATTGATTTTAAATAGTTTGACAGTTTAAATTAATAGACACTCCTTTTCTAACTTTTTCTAATAAAAGAAAAAACATATATACTTATCAGTAATGAGGAACAAAGATGTTGCGGTAATGAGAAATAGTTTTTTTTTTTTAAATATTCACTGAAATACACACATTAGTTATTTAATATTTTGGTCCAGCTCTCTCATTAATCTGCTGCTAACATCTCTAAAGAATAATATTTTTTTATTGACTGATATTATTATTGGTTTTTAAACATTACCTCCTAGTTTTTTTCTCTTTAGAGACTTTTGTCCTTATTGTATATTTGTCTTCTGTTATTTTTTGTTTGTTTTGTTTTGTTTTTGTTACAGTAAGTTAACCTAACGCTGAATTTGATGTTTGGTTACAGTTCACTTTTTGTCACTTCAATCATGATGGTGTTTGTATTTAGACCAGTTTATCCTGTATTGTTATGATACAGTTAAACAGACCCTTTTTGGGCTTCCAGTTGCCACAATTGTTCAGAGTTTCATCTCATGCTACCACAAGAAAAGCTGCTAATTATGGACACATTAGATGCGTGTGTGGTGTCTGAGACATTGTTTTAGCCTTATTTTGTTTCAATAATTTTTCAATAATTTTTTTCTTGATTTAGATGTACATGCAGGGCGCTGAAAGCCAAAATAGTCCCCAAAGAAACCAGATTCACGACTATTTCACCATCATCATCATTCCATATAAACTCAGAAGACTCGTGTAGGTTCACTGGTGGTTCTGGATAGTAAATAAAATGTCTATATTTGTGTTGTAGTCATGGCGACCTCTGGTTCCTATCATCACCACTGTAAAGACATCTGAACCATTTCACACCAAACCACTCTGAATCACTTTGAAAATGAAAATGTAAGAAATTTCAGTTTCAGTTTGAAGCTGTTGTAAAATACTCTATATATGTGCAGCCATAACTGCCTCAAAATAACTGGCTTCTGGATTAATGCAGAAAATCACTAAACACTGTTGTGCTGTTAATGGAATAATCTTTAACTGTAATGATTTTTCCAGGCTGAAACTCAGATGGCTCCTCCTTTATATTGTGCCATTGGCAGAAGAAGCAGACGCTGCACCCCGGCAGAGACAAGCTAAGCTTTTTCCAGTGAATTTCGGCATGTAGAAAATGGCAAAGCGAAAAATATCACATCATTTCACACAGTACTGCGTCTCTGTCAGACCTTAAAAGGTAATCTGATCAACCCCAGTCTGACTCAGGACCAGTGAAATAGTGGACCAGTGAAATAGTGGAAGACCTGGACGAAGATGCATTTGAACAACCATCCACTTCAAGCAATTCATGCAAAAGTACAACAAACTTCTTGTCTCAGGTATGATAACATAAAGCAGACTATTTTGTGAATTCCATTAGAAAGCAAGTAAAGACATAGCTGATTCAAACTGGTTTCTTAATAGGAAAGAATCATAAAATTACATGATTTCATTATTGTACAGAGTGCTTCTATGGAGACTTCCTGACCCTGCTCAGTGTCTTGTGCATGCGAAAAACACCTGAGACAGAATTCAAAAATCTTAAAATAATATGTTCATCAGAGCCTACATTATAGCACATGAAGAGTCTCAGTTGTTTGAGATCACAATTAAAAGATGCACATTCTCCACGATTGACATTGTCACAATTTTACATTGTGATTTCACAATTTTCAGTACATTGTTACCTAGTTTATTGGCAAAGTACAACTACTGGAATTTCACTACTCACTGCTGCTGATCATGTGTACACTTCCACACAGCAGAAGACAAAGGAACCCAACACGCTCCATCACGCCTGGACAGCAAGTGGACCAGACTGAGATACTTTCACATAAAACGTTAGGCTAAGACGGAAATAGCCCACATCGTGAGAAACACAGAACAGTTCCTCCTTTTCTCTCACAGCTAAACATGGTTCACGCAGTGTGATGACGTGTGACTCAAGACTTGTGAGATTTCAGCCAGAGAAAAAACACTAGAACCACTGACTTAATGCTGTAATTAACAAACGCCTTTTATTTATAGCCTTACGTGTGACTCAGTACAAACAGCAACGTGCAGCAAAACCTGCATTTAAGAGGAAAGATGACTCACACGTGGTTTGGATAGCAAGTTTAGCTATTGTGTTACTAGCTAATATGATTGGTAATTGAGCTGCAGTTGCCGGTTAATCAAGCTGAAGTTTTAATAAGTTAGATCAAATTACTTTAAAACTTACTAAACGTCAACATGAATCTCAGAGACTACTTGTTTGGCCTTGCACCCCAGAGGCTTGATCTCAGAGACGTAAGGCTCAACTTGCATTTGCAGTCTGGAACAGCTCGGCCTGCTAGAGTTGCTCACCTCAGAGACTCAAGACTCGACTCACATTTCAGAGAATCAAGATTTGACTTTTAGATTAAGTGACCCTCATTAGTCCCACAACGGGGAAATTTCACCTCCGCATTTAACCCTTCTGAGCAGTGAAACACCACATACACACTACGGGGCAGTGAGTACACTTGGCCAGAGCGGTGGGCAGCCCTATCCATGGTGCCCGGAGAGCAGTTGGGTGTTAGGTGCCTTGCTCAAGGGCACTTCAGTTATGTCCTGACAGCTTTGGGGATCAAACCGGTGACCTTTCAGTCACAATGCTGGTTCCCTAACCTCCAGCCCCGACTTGCAGTCGCACCTCAGGGATTCAACCCAGACTCACATCTCAGAGACCTGATTCACATTCACAACTCAGAGACTCGACTCAGACTCGCACTTCAGAGAAGGTTTTGCAACAACGTATATCACCCATGTGGAAAAGTGTTTGAAGATAATGGCCGTGGTTCGCTGGAGTCCCAGAGCCTCAGAAATTATTTGTAAACTCCAGTAACTTTCTTCCTCATTTCCTCTGGAATTTCTGATCATGGTGTGTCCTTTGATGAGAGCTTTTATTCTACATCACATTGCTGTAAAAGTTCTATTTAAGAAATTCAACATGAATGGCAGTAATCAAGTCAATCAAGCCTCTAGATTAATTGATCCCAGTTATCAACTACTTTTGGTTAACTGTTTGATTGATTAACTAACAGGGCAAATACAGGGCCAACTGGTGTTGCCTCTCTTTTTTCCTTCAATAAATGATTGTTTAAAAACTGTATTTCGAGTTTACTCAGGTTGTCTTTGTCTCAGGAATGGATCATGGTCTTGTGAGGCCCCTGGGCACTGGCATTTAGGAGGATCCCAGAATGGTAACTAACTAAACTAAACGCTAATTAAACAAACACCTGAGAAGTGAGATTATACAGTACTTCATATGCATGTTATGTGAACCATCTCCATTTGTTCTGAGAATGAACAAAATTAGCCTTGTCAATCATTAATGTGAAATATCGTGTCTACATTGTCACAGTTTATGCTTGAATTAACAACTTGATTCAAGAACTTGAAGCACTTTTCACAGCACTGCTAGTAGAAATCCCATTGTGGCTCTAACAGAAATTAGCATGATCGTACAGATGTTTTTCCCTAATATTTTACCAAGTGTTGACATTTCTGGCCTGAACTGAAGGGTAGCTCCCATTCCAGTTGCCAACTTGTTATAATTAGCATATTATTCAGGATTATTAGGCTTAAGTTAACATGAGTTAGTGACGGCTTATGATGAAAAGGAGATGATGTAGAAAAAGACGTGATGCAGAATCGTTTTTGCCTCATGTTTAAGTCACTATGGACACTGCTTCTGTCTCAGCAGAGGAACCTTAGAGTATCACAGAAATACATCACACAACACTAAACAAATCACTCAGACATGCAGAGTTCAAAAGAATTATTTATGTACGATTCAGTACAGTAGTGTACAATTCAGGCTGAACAGAGAGAGGCTCTTACAGCTATAGTGTGGGTTTATAGGATGAGGATGAAAAGTACGAGGTCACTCGTGGTTTAGGAGGTGTCTGTATGTGTTTGTTTGTGGGTGATTTCATACCTTCCTGGGGTGAGAGAGAGAGATAGATACAGCGCTTTTTTTATGGTGAGCTCTTCTCTCCTTATAAACAATTCAACCAGAGACTCACATCAGTTGAGACACTGTGCCTTTAAATCTTCATTACGTTTACAACAAGTTTAAAGAGATCTTTGTAATGAAAAATGTAATTTTCCCCTTTGTTTTCTTTTACTAATATAGTATGTAAACATTGCCATGGTTTCAGAGCAATTTGTTGTGATGTCACAAAAACCAACATATTTACGACAACCAGTGGTTCAAAACATTATGACCACTTGCATGGACTCTGAATTTGCCCTTTGGTGTTTGGTACCAAGATATTAGCATTAGAACTTTGAAGTCCTGTGAATTAGTTTGGAGAACAGGGCAACACCTTGATCTCTTCATCATGTTCCTCAGGCCAATGAACAGTGCAGTGTGGCAGGCCTTATTAACCTGCTAGAAGAGACCACTGCCATTGGGCAATACCATCACCATGAAGGGTTGTATCTGGTAATGAATGGCTTTTTCATGGTTGAGGATCCATATGTTTGTTTTCTTTGCCATCCAAGGTACTCTAAAGAGTCTTTGACAACAAGTTCAAAGGCATCTATACTTTTCCTGCTTTGCTTGTTTATTGTCCAGCTTTCACATCTATAAAGAAGTACTGAGAAAACCAGAGCCTGAACAATTCTGATCTTTGTAGAGACAAACCATTGCATTGAACATTCCATCCTTATTTTGCCGATGTCTGATCCGTCTGGTATTTCTTAAGTGCTGGAATCTTTGTTGCTAATAATTACTTTGAGTACACAAAAGCTGTCCACCATCTCTATATCTTTCATAACAATGGTAAGTTTAGTGGTCTTTCCTGTTGTCGTTACCTTAATATTTTTCATATTTAGCTTAAGTGCCATTTTTTCACTTTGTTCTTTAACCTTCCTAATAAGAGCCTTCAGGTCATCCAGATTTTCTATGAGTGTTCTATTGTCCATATATCAAAAGTCGCATATCGTTGTTGTCGGAACAAAATCTCGTATCTCCATTTTTCAGTTTTTTGACATATTTTGAAAATGCCTGTTGTTGTTTACAGTGTGTGTAAATTTCATGATGAATGGATCAAAAGAAACAACCCAAAATGATGTGGAAAAAATTCTGGTTTCATTGACTTACATTAAAAGTAGAGTATGTTTTTTCCTTCTCATGTAAAGTTACCATTTTGGAGATACAAGGTTTTATTCCGACAACAGTGATATGCTTCTTTCGTTGTATTTTCTGCATACAGGTTGAACAAGTCTGGGGACAGTCAGCAGCCGTGTCAAGCTCCTTTGCCAATGTGGAAGTCTGTTTGTCCATTTTCTGTTATGACTGTGCCTGATTAGTGTTGAGATTCCTGTTTGAACTTTATTCTTTAGTTTTCCAATTTTTCTAAGGACATTCCATAATTTTACCAACATCTTGGCAATCTAGCTGTAGGCTAATGTTTTAAAAGCTCTGGGGCCGTATTACAGAAATGTGCTATCTTTTTATCTTAAGATCTGACAGGTCAAGATAAGACTTTTCACAAATTCGTATTACAGAAGCAAATCTTGTCTAGATTTAGGAGTCTTACCTTACAGCATCTTATCTCAAGTTAAGTAAACATACTCGATCAGAGTTGACAATCAACTGTCATGTCTGTTAACTAGCAACGGACCATACACGTGCAGCTGAAATGTAAACACATAATCAAAGTAATCAACCTAGTTAGCCAGACAGCTAATGTTACTGATGTACAAAAGAGGTCAACTAAAGTGTGATGAATTAAAACTTAATGTTGTATCAGAGCTTTGTGCTGTTTATCAGAGCGTCGCCACTCTCAGTTTCAGTCTCCATTTCCCAAACGCTTTACCCGAGCATGCTAACGTTATTCCTCCTAATAAACAGACACACGTTCAGCTCTGTCTCCTCATTATTCACCACCATCTCTGTAATATTTCATCATCAACATTAACACACGAAGGTAATAAGAAGGGACGGTGGAGTTTGAGTCTGCAGCGTCTGAGATTACCTTCAAAGCACCATTTTCAGTAGATAATTGTAACATCATTATGCCAGTTATAGAGAACTATGCTGCCCAACACTGCATAAAACAATAGAACAGACAGTTAAACAGAAACTAAGACAGCACTAGGGTTTATTTTAAAGTTAGGACAGTATTTAGGAGGTTTAGTCTAGTTCAGATGTTTCTGTAATACTGTTTTCTTATCTGATATAAATGGATAAGATTCTGAACTTAAGAACTATTATTCTGTAATAGCTTCTGTCCTAAATTCAGTGCTAACCAAAGTTGTCATGGAGACTAAACAGATAAGATTTCAGACTTAAGACATTTCTGTAATTCGGCCCCTGGATTCTATAGCTCTATATGAGCTGTGACTGTACAACTCTTGATACACCCAAGAAATAAGAGCACACAAGACCTGCCTGAAATAAGAATAGATTTTATTTATATTGCTTTTTAGAAAAGTGGGAAAGAGAAAGAGTTTACAAAGTGCTAATTACAATCAGTGATTAAAACAAATAATAGTATTATAAGAAAAAATAAAACAAAAATAATATTTACCAGGATAAAAATCTAACAACAAAAAGAAACATATTAATATTTTTCAGATATCTGATTATCTACTGAAACTTAACAACTAAATACAGTGACCTGCATTTATAAAATGAAAATATTAAGAGACTTACTAAGAAGTCCTCATATACCCTATATAAAAAAAAGCTGTGAATGTCCACAGGTTTCTTGTATGACTGAAGTTTCCTGGTTGTATTAATAGTTAGCTGATAAGGTGAGTCATGTTTGGTGTTTATGCACACAAACAACATCTAATTCAAAATAACAGTGAGTTGAAACAGAAATAAAAGAGTCAATATTCTGAATGTTATTAGATCTAACAGGAAGCTGTGAATTTTAGATACTGATACAAAAGAGAAATTTGAGCACTGTGTACCATTTTACACAACTCTGTAGCCTCTGTAATAACTCTGAAAGTTACAACCAGTTAGACAACAGAACAACACAGTAAAACAGGAGGTTGGAATAGAGCAGTACTGACGTCAGAGCAAAGTCCAGAGTTTATTCTTTTGGCTTTATGACACGAGCATATAGCTGTTCAACTCCTTCCTGGTTTCCTTCCTGGAAATAACAATACTTAATTTAACTCTTCAAAACCTAAAAAACAACATTTTGAAAACATTGTATTTGTTCCATCTGATCTACACTTCTCAGAAATCATGTAGTTTTGTTGAATAATTAGAATTATCTAAAGGATAAACAGTCAGAAGAGACTGTAGTGATTTCTTTTGTTTACCTGTGGTGTTGACTGTTCTTTCAGGGGATATATGGCCTCGTACGCACTCTGCTGGGTGTCTGGATGAAGCAGAGAAAAAGGAACAAAGTTTGATTGGTTTAATTTCCTTCAGACAGAGACAATACAACAGCTTTCAAAACAAGACTTAATACAGCAATATTTAAGGATCCATAAGAGTTCATAAACATTGGGAAGAAAGGAAAAAGGGCTTTGACTGATATTAATATGTCCTAGTTCTTACTCATATTACACTGAGGGTAAACTGCTGCACTGGTGTTGAAGGCTAAATTATAAATAACAAAATTTTAACAAACAGATTATTTGTGAAAACATTGTTTTATTAAGCAATAGCAATGAAATATTTTGGTCATTTTGAGTTAAATCAGAAGGTTTAGAAGGTTGAGTGATGTAGGCTGGTATTTAAAATGAGCTAATTAGCTAACACTAACACTAGAACTAACTGGTGCAGCAGTCGATGGTGACAAGTTTTATCTTTTCAGTGAATGATGCGCCAACATATTAGTGAAGGTAACACTGAGGACAGAAATGTCTTTTCATTCGGGGAGTGAAGGCAAACTCGAGTACTCAGTGAACCTTTTGAGGTGCCAGTATTAGAATGTTGCAAATCTATTTGACTATTTCTTACATTCCGTCACTGGAGACAGATAATATATTGTCAGCATGTTTATGAAGAAATATGTATTGTATAATCCTTTTTATGATGCTTTGCTTCTCCAAAACAGAAGTGCTTTAAATACCCTTAATGCTGACATAAGAATGTGTCTGTTTCTGCCGTTTAACCCATTGTGTTCCTTTCACATGATAAAGTGCTGCTGATGTGTTTATTTTGATATGTAAAGAACATAGCAAAGACAAAAATATATAGATGTTTGCTCAATTTGTGTCCAAACTGCCTGTTTAAACAGGAATATATATATATATATATATATATATATATATATATATAGGAATATGTAAGTCCAACATCAATAATAATAAGTCCCACATCAATAATAAATAATAAAAAGCTCTTAACTATCTGGTCTGTGTATCTTTTGGTAATTTTCATGTAAAAATCCAGTAGTGAAAAACAGGAAATTCTTGTTTTTAGTTCTGTTATTGTCTGTGAAAAAATTAAGAAATTGCCTTATTTTACAGTTTCACAAATTAATCATGAAATCAGATAATAAACTATTGACAAAGGAGTAAAGGGTCGTATTTTACTTATCCAAATTTCCCCAACATTCCTCCCACCATTTAACAGCAAGAGAAATGAAACCCACAGAGCCCAATAATGAGAAAAATGTTATGTCAATGTAATGTTATGTCATCAGAGGTTATAACTATATATAACTGTGTTATAGAAAGTGTGTTGTTGCTCCAGACTTGAGAATTAAAGCTGTGAGCTGTGCACTATGCTGTGCTCATAGTGGTCTAATAATACTATAGCGGCAGTCACTGGCTCCAGTTTTGGGAAAGGAGCATATGTGGTGTGTAATGTAAAGCTCAGCCGTCCCCCCGTAAAAAAAAACAAAAAAAAAACTGTGGTTTACTGTTGTTGTTGCTACTTATCATTACGACTGAAAGGCATTCAATCCTCCTAGCGCTGCACCAACAACCAGCATCTTCATTACATTAAACTAAACTAAACTCCATGTTTGGCTTTAGGTCCTGTTGTGCTGTTTGTTGTGAAGGAAAAGGAAGGATTAACCGTTCCTAACAGACAGAAACAACCAAAATCGTGAGTGTGATCTAGTGTCCATATGCCTGACTGAAGTGTGTGTGTGCATGCGAAGGCAAGCAAGAAGCCCCCCGTTATATGTTGGAAGTCCAGTTTCTTCCCCAAATTGTTTCATTGTTTTACAGATTGAGCAAAGCTATACACATTACACACAAACACCTATACAAAAAATAATAGCCTATAGCCTAACAATATCCCAGAACAACAGGCTCCTGCCCACCATAAGTGCTCTCTGCATGTTTATTTACATTTGAAGTGATAGAAATTTTACATTTGGATAAATAAAATATGACCCTTTGTTGGACGGTTGTTAATTTGTTATTTGATTTTATTATTAGTTTGTGAAACTATTAAACTATTTCTTGATTCTTTTTTCTCCCACTGACAATAACAGAAGCAAAAACGAATTGACCCATTTCTTGATCCATTATTAAAAAAAATATACAGATATTATATATATGTCCCATGAAATAAACAAAGCTAAGAGCAGAGTAACTTAAGCCCTTTTTACGTTCAAGGAATATTTTTACTTGTAATGCTTGAGCTTGGCGTCATTCGCAAGTTTTAAAATATATTTTTAATGGTGTTACTGGTAAACAGGATGTGACACCCGCAGCGTTAACATCTGAATCATGTACAGAAATATACTCACACAACTTTATCACTACAACTGAAAAACAGCTATAAAATCAAATGAATCACAAATGTGATGCTTTGCTGTTGAAGGCCTTTGTGCAGGAGTTATAATAACAGTAGAGTTTTAGTGATTTAATTTAGAGTATCCAAAGATGAAACTATGGTGGGCAAAGAAATCAACATGTTTTTTATGATTATTCATGTCCAAATGCCAATTTTGAATTGATTAGATCAAATCAGGACTAAGTTCACAAAGTGATATTTTCCAAACAGATTCAGGTGAATATTACTGTGATCATTCGTCTTTGTCTTACGTTCACATTAAACGCCTTCTAATTACACTACCATTAAATTCACAGGTAGAAATGCCTGAAATGTCTGAAAGGAGCTTTAGAGGAAACAGTAATAAGAATTTTTTTAAGAGAATAAGATATGCGTATTACTTTCTCTCTTTCATTTTACTCGGTCTGTCCTGCACCTTTTTATATTTAGACAACCAGAACCAGTGACTGCCTGGACAGATAAATGAATAAATATTTTAATAACAATGAAATTAACAGCAGTGAATGGACAGGTGTCAGAAGTATTTTTCTAAACTGGTGATCATTTAGGTTGCATGAGAAAAACATGGATATTTTTTACCAAAGAACAAAAAATGCAAGAAAAAAGCATGAAAATAATATAGCCAGAATGCGAGCATGAATTAGCCCAATGAGGTCAAATGCATCAGACAGGGGCCTTTTTTTCACAGACAGAAGAAAAATGATAGGATGACAGAGTTTATCAGAACTCCTTCATTTGTCATGATTATTAGTTTCAAGTTTTGTACAAATTGACGTTCTGACGTTGGTATAGTACACAGCAGACCTCGAATAAACAAGCCAAAATACTGAAAAACATTCCAGGTTCTGAAATAAGCTGTAATTGTATGGTTGGTTGTATAATAATAAATGCAAATAATGAATGCAAAGCTGAGCATAAACTGGTAGTATTACAATAGATTTACCTGTGATTTGGACCCCTGGAAAGGTTGCCAGGTGGTAGACGTTTTCCTTTGTGTTTTGTTGGTCACCTGCTAATAGATAAATACAGCATGACTGACTGAATCATTTGCTGAATATTATCATTGAGATACACAACATAAAAATGCCACTTGACTCATTTCCAACATGAAGCTTTTGATTTTACTCATAATTTACTGTCAACAGCAACCAAATTCTCCACTGAAGAATCAGAGCAACTGGCAGGCTAGTTTAGATACTGTGGTCACTCACACTGATCAACAACATCACCAATTAAATAAATAATTTGTACATTTATTATGCACTCTGTGATAACTTTATAACTCATTATAATTAAATTTAAAATATTGCCAATTCCGCCATAATAATTTGGGTCTATGTCTATACACTGTGCTCCATTGCTCAAGTGCACCATTAGTAAGGATATGAAAAAAATATGTTGATATTAAACTCACCAAATTGTGTGACTGGCACAATGTCCTCAACAGAGTAGTAGAAATGCTCCTGATTCCACTTAACAGCATTCACAGCTGAGACACAGAGCAGAAATCACACTGCAGATATCGCTCTTTAAAAAAAAGGTCAAAGATACCAAAAGCATTCTTTGAAGCGCCACCACAGAATAACCACTTAATCTTAAAAGAAGGTCTAAATGAATAGATGTTTTTTTTTAAAGAGTTGTGTGAATGTGAAGGACATTTCCATAGTTGAAACAAACTCCATTTAATGTAAATGTTCTGTATCTAGAACCACACATCCAAGCCAAGACCCATTTAGTGTCTTTAATTTTTTAAAGTTGTATAGAATTAGGAGAGGGAACTGGTATAACAGTCAAAATGCTACTTAAGTGTGAACAACTGTAATATTTTCCACATTCCAGCTGTCTGAAGGTCAGGAGGGCGAGTGTATGGGATGCACATAAGAGACTAATGGAATTTCCCATTCCACCTTAAATGTCACAACATTTACAACCCCAATTCCAAAAAAGTTGGGACGCTGTGCAGAATGTAAATAAAAATAGAATGCAATGATGAACAAATCATGTAAATCATATTTTTAAAGGAAAATATTACAAAGACAACATATCAAATGTTGAACAAAATTTTCAAAAATATTTGCCCATTTTGAATTTGATGACTACAACACGTTCCAAAAAAGTTGGGACGGGGGCCTGTTTACCACTGTGTTTCATCACCTCTTCTTTAACAACACTCTGTAAGCATTTAGGAACTGAGGAGACACTGCTGTAGTTTAGAAAGTGAAATGTTTTCCTGTTCTTTCTTGATACAGGATTTCAGCTGCTCATCAGTTCGGGGTCTCCTTTGTTGAAATTTTTGTTTCATAATGCGCCAAATGTTATCAGTGGTGACAGGTCTGGACTGCAGGCAGGTCAGTTTAGCACCCGGACTCTTTTAATATGGAGCAATGCTGCTGTAATACATGCAGAATGTGGTTTTACATCATCTTGCTGAAATAATCAAGGCCTTCCCTGAAAAAGACGTCGTCTGGATGGCAGCATATGTTGCCAAAACATGTATATATCGTTCAGCATTAATGATGCCTTCACAGATGTGCACATCACCCATGCCATGTGCGCTAATGTCCCCCCAGACAATCATGAATACTGGCTTTTGAACTGTGCACTGATAACAAGCTGAGTGGTCTTTAGCCCGGAGGACACAGTGTCCATGATTTCCAAAATGAAATTCAAATGTTGCTTTGCCGGAACACAGGACACTTTTCCACTTCCCCTCAGTCTGTTTTAAATGAGCTCGGGCCCAGAGAAGGCGGCAGTGTTTCTGGAATCTGTTTATATTTGGTTTCTTCTTTGCGTTTTAGAGTTTTAACTTGCATTTGTGGATGCAGTGATGAACTATTTTCACAGACAGTGGTTTTCAGAAGTGTTTCTGAGCCCATGCAGTGATTTCCACTACAGAATCATGTCTGGTTTTAATGCAGTGCTGTCTGAGGGCCCAAAGATCACGGGCAGCAAATACTGGTTTTTGCCCTTATCTCTTACATACAGAGATTTCTCTCAATCTTTTAATGATATTATTAACTGTAGATGATGAAAAGCAAAAGTTCTTTGCTGTTTTACGTTGAGAAACGTTATTCTTGAATTGTTGCACTATTTGATTGTGCAGTCTTTCAGAGAGTGGTGAACCTCTCCTCATCTTTACTTCTGAAAGCCTCAGCCTCTCTGGGATGTTTTTTTATACCCAATCATGATGGTGAACTGTTGCCAAATAACCACCAGGTGACTTTTATTAGCATTACACAACTTTACCAACCTTTTGTTGGAACGTGTTGTTGGCATCAAATTCAAAATGGGCAAATATTTCTCAAAAACCAATAAAATTTCTCAAGTTTCATTTGATATGTTGTCTTTGTAATATTTTCAATGAAATATAGGGTTTAAATGATTTACATATCATTTTGTTTATATTTACATTTTGCACAGCGTCCCAACTTTTTTGGAAATGGGTTTGTAAAAGGCCTATTTACATACCAGGATATGACTGCGGCTTCACTTAAGATGGAACTCCTTAAATAGCCAGAGCCCACCAGCAGGCCCAAAGTTTTTTTTACACACTTCCATAACCTAAGAATATCTGAACCACTTTGCACGGAAGTCCCTGCAGTTACTGAATAACAAGGTACAGCATGTAATAAGTCTTGGATTTTAAGGGGATAAAAGCTGATTTCTATAAGAATAAAATCATCAAAATACATCTATTTATTTTTTTAGTTTACTTTTGTCAAGAATTAAGTTGATGTATTATATTTTATTCATGTGGACCTGATGTACACATTTGAAAAAGTAAGTGCAATTTTTAAGTGTGCTTCAGTGTCACCCAGTTGTGGAGTCCCACTGTTCTGCACATTGAAGTATGCAAGAGTGTACATGCAGCTGGAGAAATAAAAAATTATCACCTTTCCTTTTGCAGAAATATCTCAATGAGAACAGAACCAGCACCACAGCAAAAAGGCAGCTCACTGCTACTATGATCAGGAAATTCCTCAGAACTGAAAATAAAAACACAAGATCACCTCATAGGATCCATTCACATCTTCACACTGAGGCTGTTTAGCCTCCCAAAATGACTTCTGAATGAAAAATACTATTAAAATCAAACCATAACTGCCAGTTCTCAGACTTTGGTTTAAAGGCACCTGAAGAACATAACAACAGTAAATGATAAGTCCCCAGCATTTATTACTGAGACCCCCTGCACAGTGCCTATTTCCCCTCTTCTGCCTGATTCACCTATAACGAATGATGGGGTAATAAGCTGACAAATGAAATCAGATCTATTATTTCAAGAAAGTGAGCTGTTCTCTTCACCAGTGTAACATCTAATCTCAAATATCAGCTCATATCAATAGAGCCTCCTACTGCATCTTGGACAGGCAGATAATGGACAGATGTAAATACATAAAATGCACATTGTCTGATTAAATGCTGTGTTATGTGCATGTAAACACACAAAAAATGTGATTTTCTTTTCATACAGTGTGCATACAGTCTTGTGAAAAAATCCTCAGGGAGATCACATGACTCCTGCAACCTCTGACCTGCCTTCATGCTCCACTCAGCGCTCTTACTCTCCTGAATACTAATTCGGTCCACCTGTTTCAGAGGTCATGTGATGTCTTTGGTTTAGCTTAGATAGGCCGGGCTTTAGCTTAGATAGGTTGTGAAGTATTGTATCATTATCAGCCTACTGAGCGTTCTATTGTGTATCTGCTTTTCTGTTTATGACCATTTTGCCTGTTTTTCCCGACTCTGTCTTTTTGCGTAACCCTTTGATTGTCTGCCTTTGGTTATCTCACTGGTTTTTGACCTTTTAGCCTGGATTCTGGAAATTGCCCTTTTGCCTTGCCCTTTGGACTGTTTGCCCATTGTTATGTGTGTTTTCTGGCTAAGCTTTTTGGTTTTGACCCCCGAGCCTGTTTTACGTCTCCATCAGTAAAGCCTCTCTTGATCATTTTTACCGTGAGCGTCTGACTCATTCTGTGCTGTTACACTAATAAAATAAGGAATTCATAGTGGATCCTATGATGGACAGGTTTGCTGTAGCAAAGCAGCCCCAAACCATGACATTTCCCCTCTAGGCTTCACAGTTGGTTTGAGGGTCTTTTGTTGTGTGTTTGCATTGCACCACATGTCTTCTGTTACTGTGCCCAACTTCAACTTTGAAGTCCTCTGTTTTGGTCTAGTTGTTTCTGTCCAGGTGTTTTCTGGCAAACTTTGGTCTTACTCTGTTTTTTTGACAGTAAGTGTTTCCTCCTTGCACACCTCCTATGAAAATCAGACTTGTGCATTCCCTTTCTGAAGGATCAATTCTTGTAGATGCATGTACTTCGACAAGAGCTACCTGTAGGTCCCGTGATGACTTTTTAGGATTGTTGGAGACTTATTTACGCACCTTGTGGTCTGCTCTTGGGCCGAACTTGCTAGGATGGCCTGACCTGGCCATATTGACAGTTTTACATGTTCTCCAATTGTAAGATCTCGCTATGATGATACCACTCACTTCAACAATCCAGATCAGAACTAAATGAGGTTTAAATCCAACACCCTCCTCCAAAACCCCAAATCTAACAATGTTCTAATCATTTACAGTTGATGAGGTGACCTGATTCTAATTTTAGAGATTATAAGTAGTGATAAATGTCCCAGCATCCCAGCCTCCTAGCTAGTTTTTAAAAGATGTACATTTGTTCTGTACGGTAAAGGCAATGACAAACTGATTATGAAGATTCATAGAGAATCACTGTCAAAATGTAGGAACGCATCAATTATTTCAGAAGTGACATCTTTATATGCATCTACCCATAAATGGCCAATTACATTCATTAACTTAGCAAAAAACCTGATCCAGTTGAACCAGTTATCAGCTGCTCTTCATCGAAGTGATTTACTGGCCTCTCTCTGCACAGTGGTCAAACATGCTTGTTTACTTAACCACCTAAAAACTTAAACAGCTGAAAATCAATACAGCATGAATTTGCCTAGCAGCAGAGTGGTTTGGTAGATGTGTTTTCATTTTCTCATGCAGGTCGCAATGACAGCATTCAGTAAATTTGAATGAAAAAATCACAAAGACGACAAAAAAAGTTCTAATTTTTTTGTACAAACTGAATCGAACAAGGCTTCTTTGTATTTTGGGAAAATTACTGAAGGACAAGCGCACCCTGCACTCTCAATTTTCCAAACTTAGCACCTTCATCTAACTGTGAGTAAAAAACAAAGTAACATATTGAAACAGCTGCAGTGAATGTTGTGTGGATTTAAAATGCTTATATATGTCATAATTAAAATACACAGAGTGCTGCATTAAAATCTGGTCACAGTATCCAGTGCTAGATCATCTGATGGCACTACATTAGAAGCTCATAGGAACCTGGAGTTGTTCTTCCAGATGAACCTTCAGTGGTGTTTGTTGCAGTTTCTGGTGCCGTTGTGTCTGCACTTTTAGCTGTGGATGTGGTTGTATTTGTTGCAGTGTCGGTTGGCTTCATGTCTGTGCTTTTAGCTGTGGATGTGGTTGTATTTGTTGCAGTGTCGGTTGGCTTCATGTCTGCACTTTTAGCTGTGGATGTGGTTGTATTTGTTGCAGTTTCGGTTGGCTTCATGTCTGCGCTTTTAGCTGTGGATGTGGTTGTATTTGTTGCAGTGTCGGTTGGCTTCATGTCTGTGCTTTTAGCTGTGGATGTGGTTGTATTTGTTGCAGTGTCGGTTGGCTTCATGTCTGCGCTTTTAGCTGTGGATGTGGTTGTATTTGTTGCAGTGTCGGTTGGCTTCATGTCTGCGCTTTTAGCTGTGGATGTGGTTGTATTTGTTGCAGTGTCGGTTGGCTTCATGTCTGCGCTTTTAGCTGTGGATGTGGTTGTATTTGTTGCAGTGTCGGTTGGCTTCATGCCTGCACTTTTAGCTGTGGATGTGGTTGTATTTGTTGCAGTGTCGGTTGGCTTCATGTCTGCACTTTTAGCTGTGGATGTCGTTGTATTTGTTGCAGTTTCCGTTGCCTTCATGTCTGCGCTGTTAGTTGTGGATGTGGTTGTAATTGTTGCAGTTTCTGTTGCCGTTCCGTCTGCGCTGTTAGTTGTGGATGTGGTTGCAGTTGTTGCATCTTCTGTAGCAGCTGTGGTTATGTTGTTTGTACCTAGAATGTAAGGAACAACATTTGTTTGTTTTTGTTTGCTTGGTTCAGCATCACACGGCTTCTACCAATTCAGTAACTGTATCATTAAGGCATTAATTTACACCTTGCATTAAAATGGTTTGGGCCTGGTTCCATTTTCACTTTTCTTTAAAATGAGCCCCCAGTGTGACCATGTAATATTTGATTTTACTTCCCTGTATAAATAACGAGTTGTTTTCAGTTTATATCTGTTTGCCAGTTGTTCCCCTCCGTACAGACAAATTTGATATGGACGTTTTCATCGGTCCATAGTGCAAGAACGCACTTGTGCTGGATCTGGTCAGGATCTGTTTCTGACCACCTCTGAATGTTGTGACACCTGGAGCAGTGAAGTGAAATCTGAATGTGATCCAATCTGAATGTGATATGATCAACATGCATATCGATGCAAGATGTAAACTGCCTTATTAAGTTAGATACCAGTCAAGAATGGTGGACACAGTCTGATGAAATGTTCTCCTGCCCAAAGCTCCAGTCATTAAGTAACAGTTTAATAACTGAATATTCAACACACATTTAATGGTTTAAACTATGACTTGAGGGGTACTTTAAACAAGGAAGCCCTCAATGAGAGCAGACCATTCCTCCTCTAAATAATCACTTTCTCTTTTCCTCTAAATCAAATACTGAGGAAAGTGCACTCATCGTAGAGTATTAGCTTGAGAGGCCCTATTAGCATATTTTGAGTCACTCACCAAACATGCCACAAAGTGCCATCTCGACCATTTAGTAGATGTGAATATTATAAAAATTATATATACTTTTTTTTATTATTACCTCAAACAAATAAAAAATACTAAAAAATAAAATTCCATTGCTTTTTTCTCTGTGAGGACGTTAAAGAGTTAACAGGAGAAGGAAAAAAAACATTCTTAAGTGCTAATGGAAGTTAATTTAATGAGATTCAATTCCAAATAATTTTGTCATGAATTATAACACAATGCAAATTGTGATTATTCATATTATCCTAAAAAAGAAAAAATCAAAAATGGAGATTTTGTGCAACAGTGACTATAAACTTGCATTTGACAGCTTTGGATCTGGCTCGGATGGTGTCATTGTTGATGTGATAACGAAAGGAGATCCTGAGGATCTGCTTCAGGCATCACCTTTGGAAAGCCTTGAGTCCGTGTTAGTAGGGTCCAAGTGTCTGATCCATAAAGAAAGATTGGTATGATCAGCGTTCGGGCAAGGCGGGTTTTGGTCGTCATAGAGATGTTATTCTGCCTCCATAGGCACAATGTGAGAGAGGTAAACACTGCTGCAGCCTGTCCAATTCGAGCACGTGTCTCCTTGCCTCTCCCTTCTCCTGAACCAGCAACCCAAGGTATCCTGCACTTGTTCAATTAGGATGTCAATTTGAGTGAATGTCACAGTGATGAAACGCAGATAACATGACGTAGCTCGGCAAGTCAGACTGGTTCACCAGACGTGAACGTTTTCCGTGGCCCTTAGATGAGAAGTTTTGTTTTACCATTTAAAAGAATTCAGCATTGTGTATGGAGTTTTGTGCCAGAATGTCTGAGAGAAGATCCTGATGTCTGAGAGAGGAATGGTCCGGTTTGAGAGGACAGCGCTGCTCTGAGCGCAGCTGATGAACTCGATCGCTTTTGTCAGCATGAAGTGCGGCAGATAAACACTTTCGGAATGAAAACACTCCGGTTTCATTCAAAACTTTAAAATCTGCACATCAGTACATTTCCCTCTCAGAGCTCGCACCTGCAAAACACTCCGGTTTCACTCACAACTGGAAAACCTGCTCAATTGCGCTCTTCACCTTCAAAACTCGCACGTGTGCACAGATCATTTCTGCTCTCGG